CGTCCTAAATATCTCTTGCTCTTGTCACTTCACAATCAGTCTAATTTGGCCTTGAACTTGTGTTGGATGCCCTCAGAATAATGAAGTTGAAATTATGTTGTAGACTATTTCTGTGCAACTGATTGTGTATTTAATATGTAATTATTCATTTTGAATTTTCTGATTAATTATTTTTTTTTTATTTTTTAGCATTCAATGATGACAATACGTAAGATTTGTTGCCTGGGTGCAGGATATGTTGGTGGACCAACATGCAGCGTTATAGCATTGAAGTGTCCTGATGTGCAGGTAACAGTCGTTGACGTAAGCAAAAGTCGTATCGATGCATGGAATTCAGACGATCACCTCCCAATATATGAGGTAAGACCCTCAAGTGCAAATTGGTATAAAAGTCTGAAACAGGGACTTATGATCTGGGTTTTGTTTGTCCGGCAATTTTGTCACAAAGCAAAAATCAATATTTTTAATGTTATACAGTATTATTAGAGTTTATTTCCCTGCATATGAAATTATATGGAATAATAAAAACATTCTTATTCAAAATAAAAGTATATTTTATTCAGATTTAAAGGATCTAGGAATTGCTTATATAGCTGACATCTTTAATGGGGAGGGTAAGGTTAAAAATTGGAATGACTTAAATACATTGGGTTTAAACGATGGCAGGGTCTCATTGCGGCTATCCCTAAAGACTGGAAAATAAGTAGACCAGTTGTTGTGTGGCCAGATCCTCCAATCAGTGTATATGGTCGAAAGCAAATGATTAATCTATCTAACTGTACCCCAAAATTCAGCCGTAAACTCATCTCTTCTTTTTTTTTTATTATTCCATCTAGTCAGACCTTTTTAGAGACTTGTTGGGGGTAGAAACTGGATGGGATTTTTTCTATTCAATGCCATTTCTTGTTACAATTTGCAGTACTCTTCGTGAATTTCAATGGAAATTAAACCATAACATCCTGTACACCAATGCTATGCTATATAACTTTCACCTTTAGTTATTTCTGATATGGGTACATTTTGCCATAACTTTAGTGAAACTCTGATTCATCTCTTTCGTGACTGTCATGTGGTGCAAGATATTTGGACAAGGTTTTAAGATCAATGGGGTCAACTTTTGCAGTGCCCCCAGCCACTTTCAGCAAAACAGATTCTCTTAGGTGATGACAGTTTTTCGCACCTTTTAAACCATTTAATTATAATCTTTAAAAAATGCATCTATACAAGCAAAATTAAGAAAGAATTACCAACCTTTGTTGCCATTAAAACTGAAATTAGTTATATAAGAGAGATAGAAAATATGATTTCCATAAGAAGAAACACCACATTTCTGTTTCTAGAAAAAAGGGCCAATTTTGCACCATAAGACAATGTCACTTTATGTTTTGATGGTGAACCTGTTAGTGTGTTTTGACCCTTGGAGGGTTTATGGAGGGGGGGCAAGGGTTATTTTCGTTCAACGTAATTGCAATATTTTTTTGTTCGTACTACGTAAATTGAAAAAATAAATTCCA